TTCAGTGAGTAGAATTTGATTACTTTGCTACAGAGGGATTTACAAAGATTAGGGAAGTGGGCAGCCAAATGGCAGATGAAATTTAATGTTGATAAGGTGTCACGACACTGCTTAGTTGATTTGCCCTTGTGCAGTACTCGCACTCACCACTGTTTCTGTTTGGCACTGTTCCTGATTTCTTTTCATTAAGCACTTCACCTGGTCCTTGTTTAGCACCTATTTAGTTTGGTTTCTCCCCTCACTCCTTGCCAGATCATTACTTTTGTTTCCTGTTTCCCTGGTCTCCTGTGTTCCTGGCTCCTGGCTCCTGGCTCCTGGCTCCTGCTTACTGTGACTTGGTCCTGTGTCCTGTGTTCTCCTGGTCTTCATCCTGTGTCCTCCTGATCCTGCGTTTCTGTGTTCTCCTGGTCCTTCATTGCTGTGCCCTCCGATCCAGTGCTCTGATTCCGTGGCCTCTGACTCACTACCAGCGATCCTGTCCCTGCAGCCTTGCTGATTTATTTGTTCTTGTTGTCACTACATTAGTCTTGTGACTTTGGATCTGTGCCCTACCTGATACCCGTGTTAGCTGCACAATCCTACCCTAATACCAAAGGACTATTACAGTATTTGTTGCCTGCACAGTTCATGCTTATTTTTGATTTACTGTATATATTTTTGGCCTTGTCTTTGTATGTATATATATATATTGTTTTGTTTTCTCCTTTGGTTTCCTGTAAATATATATATTTCTTGATTTATCCTATTCATTTGTGTCTTGGACTTTATTTCTTTGCCATATTGGTTCCCACATTTAAAGTGACAGTGCTGCTCCAGGGCAGCACCCCTTCATGTCATTACATAAGGCAAGCAAACCAAGCAATTGCTTGGGGCCCTGAGCTGGCCTGGGGCCCCAAGACAACGATCAGGGACGCATTTGCCTTGGGCGGCACTTTCCAGGGGGCGGCAAAAAGAGTCGCCTCCAAATGCCCAGGGCGAATGTCTTGTTAGCCTTGCGGTCGGTCGGGCGGCACTGGCGAGGGAGCACTTTCCCCTGAGCGCTCTGCTCAGCTCCCTAGCGCATCGCAGAGTGATGCCGGGAGCCGGAATATGACGTCATCTGGAATTGAGGAAGTGAGACACATGGTGGCGCGCGAGGGAGCTGAGCAGAGCGCTCAGTGGAAAGTGCTCCCTCGCCAGCCCCACCCGACCGACCACCCAGCAGCCCCACTAGACCCCAGGGAGACGGAGACCCCCTCCCCCCTTCAGCATTCCCAAAGGGAAGGAGGCTGGGGGGGTTAAATAAAAAAAAGTGTGTGTGTGTCTGTTAGTGAGTGTGTGTTTGTCTGTTAGTGAGTGAGTGAGTGTGTGTGTGTCTGTTAGCGAGTCTGTGTGTGTCTGTTAGTGTGAGTGTGTGTGTCTGTTAGTGTGAGTGTGTGTTTTAAGTATGTTGGATTTAGTTATTGTGCACTTTTTTAATGTATATTTGATTTTATGGTACAGTGGTGTTTTTTGTAAATGTTCAATTGTTGAAAATGTTTTATTTATGCACAGTATATGCAACAGCAGTATTTGCACTGTAAACCTTTTTTATTTATATAAAGTGTGGGTGAACTTAGCCTGTGCTGTGCTGTGGTTCCTGCAGGCTTTGTAGGCTTTGGGTTGGGGGGGGCCCTCCATGTCCGTTTTGCTTGGGGCCCCCAAATTCCTTCAAACGGCCCTGCTTCAGGGTAAAGAATACACAAGCAACTTACGCCCTAAATGGTAGTGAGTTAGCGATAACAACACACGAGAAGGATTTGGGAATTGTTATAGACAATAAACAATGTGCAATGTTAATCAGCAGTGGTTAAGGCTAGTAAGGTATTGCTATCAATAAATTCTGGGAATGAAAATATAATTTAGACTCTTTAAATAAATGATAAGACCACAAAATGTGAATATGCTGTGCAATTTTGGGCGCTTGTTCTAAAGAAAAGAAAGATATTATGACACTAGAAAAAGTGCATAGGCAGGCTTTACAAGTAATAAAAGGAATGGAACATTTTAGTGATGAAGGAAGGTTAACAAATTTTGATTTGTTTAGTTTAGAAAAACGGTGCCTTACAGGTAATATGATACAAATATAATCGAGGTCAATACAAACCATTGTCTGGAAATCTATTCAGAAACAGGACTATACATAGGACACATTTAGACTGTAAGAAAATATATTTAGTCTTAGGCAAAGAAATTTTTTTTATTTTTTTTATTTTTTTTACAGTAAGAACAATAAGGATGTGGAACACTCTGCCTGAAGAGCAGGTTTTACCAGAGTTTGTACAGATGTTTAAACAGCTGGATGAATACTAGTTAAAACAATATTCAGGAAAATATTTTTTTAACATGTGGGGTAGCAGCTTCTTGTTTCAATGAGAGATCTGACTGCCATTCTGGAACCGAGAAGGATTTTTTTCCTTGTTTGTTTCAAAATTGAGAAATACTTAAAACAGTTTTTTGCCTTCATTTGGATCAACAGCAAAAACAGATGTGAAAAAGGCTGAACTTGATGGATGCATGTCTCTTTATAGCCTATACATAACTATGTAACTAATTAAAGGAACACTATCAGCACCAAAACAACTTCAGCTTAATGCACTGATTTTGGTGTATAAATAATACCCCTGCAGTCTCACCATTGAATTATCTGCCATTTAGAAGTTGAATTACTATGATTATGCAGTCCTAGCCACACTTCTCCTGCATGTGACCTACACAGTCTCCCTACATATTTCCTGTAAAGAGAGTTTTAAACTTCCTTTATTGTACAGTCTGTTTAATTTAGAATGTATTATCAAAATGCATACATTATCTAAAGCCTTTAGAAGTTTCCTGTTTAGAAGAATGGGAAGGTTTAAAATTTGGCTGAAAGACCCCAAAATTGGTCTTTCAGACAAATTTACTAATACTAAGTAAAGATTACTTAGTATTAGTAAATTATGCCCCTACTGGCTATACCGCGAGTAGGGGCATGTCTATTAAACAGTGAGCAGCCTGTGCGGTGGGTGGGGGCCCTACAGTAAAATAAGGGGGGGGGACCTAACGTCCTCCCCTTTGGCACCCCACCCCTGAGCGGCGGGTGGGGGCCCTAAATTGTAATAAGGCAGGGGACCTAAGGTCCTTCCCCTTGGCCCCCACCCCTGAGTGGTGGGTGGGGGCCCTAAATACTAATAAGGGGGGGGACCTAATGTCCTCCCCCCTGGCCCCCACCCCTGAGCCGTGGGTGGGGGACCTAAATACTAATAAGGGGGGGATCTAATGTCCTCCCCCTGGCCCCCAACCCCTGAGCGGCGGGTGTGGGACCTAAATTGGAATAAGGGGGGGACCTAATGTCCTCCCCCCTGGCCCCCACCCCTGAGCGGTGGGTGGGGGCCTTAAATACTAATAAGGGGGGGACCTAATGTCCTCCCCCCTGGCCCCCATCCCTGAGCGGTGGGTGGGGGCCCTAAATACTAATAAGGGGGGGAACCTAAGGTCCTCCCCCCTGACCCCCACCCCTGAGTGGTGGGTGGGGGCCCTAAATACCAAAAAGGGGGGCACCTATTGTCCTCTCCTCCAGCCCCCAGCCCTGAGCAGCGGGTGGGGGCCCTACATTTTTTTTACCTCCCCCAGGTGACTAGGAGTCCCCAAACCCCTAGTCACCCCTTCCACCCCCAAAAAATTAACCCCCTACCTACCACCCTCACCCTAAAAATAATGAGGGGGGGACCTTTAACTAAGTACCTGTAAATAAAATAAAACTTACCATTCAATGTTTTCTTACTTCTAAAATCGTCTTTTTTCAGCCCTAAAAAAGGCCAAATAAAAATCGATAACAACCGACGGAATAAAAAAAAGAAATAAAAAAAAGAGAGCAAAAAAATATAATCCATCTTCACCCATGGAGGGCTCTACGCAGACTGAGCTCTGCAGGGTGGGGGAAAGTTTATAAAACCTTGCACCGCCCTGCAATTAGGCTCAGAGCACTCTGATTGGTGGGTTTAAGCCATCCAATCAGAGTGCTCTGATAAGTAAATGAAGAGACTGACAGGTAAGTCTCTACATTTACCTGTCACAGCACTCTGATTGGTTGATTTGAAATCCACCAATCAGAGTGCTCTGTGTCATTTTACACAGTGTGGGAAAGTTCTTTGGAATTTTCCCACGCTATGTAATTTGACTCATAACTCTCTGATTGGTAGATTAAGTAAAGAATTAGAGTGTTATGAGTCAAATTACACAGCGTGGGAAAATTCCAAAGAAATCACTTAAAATAACATAAAATACATAAAAATTCAAAATACAGCTTTAGTCCAATAACGCCATCAGGTTTTTAAAACTGTCCGTCTCCACCAGACGGAATGACAGCATTTCAAAGGCCAGGAATTTTAAAATGCTGGCATTCAGGGCCATGGATCGCGGGTGGGTAGGGGGGAACTTCCTCTTTCTCTCCAGTGTTTGGGAGATGGACAGCTGAACGCTTCCATGGGACAGTGTGGAGATGCTGGACAATTGTGTACCTGGCCTATGCTGGTGCAGGAACCCACCCACCCTCCAAGCCACTTGTGAATGACTGGCCTGATAACCGTGGAAATGACCCCTCTTCCTCCTCCTCTTCCGCCTGTGTTTTCAAGGAGACATAGAAGCGGGATAGTAAGGCTGAGAATGGCATCATCGGCACTGGCCATGTTGGTGGAGTCCTCGAAACAGCGCAACATGGCACACAGGTCTTGCATGGAGGCCCACTCATTGGTGGTGAAGTGGTGCTGTTCTGCAGAGCGACTGACCCATGTGTGCTGCAGCTGAAACTCCACTATCGCCTGCTGCGGCTTGCACAGTCTCTCCAGCACGTGCAAGGTGGAGTTCCATCCTGTGGGCACGTCGCATATGAGGCGGTGAGCAGGGAGGCAGAAGTTCCGCTGCAGCGCAGACAGGCGAGCAGCAGCAGGGTGAGAATGCCAAAAGCGCGCACAGACGGCCCGCACTTTCTGCAGCAGCTCTGATATATCTGGGTATACACCATGGCGGTGTAGGTGTAAACAGCGGCGGTGGAGGAGGAGGTAGCCAACAACTTTTTTAAAAAAAATTAATTGGGGTAGCCCCCAAAATATTGGGACATATAAAAAAAGAAAAAAAAGAATAAATGCACTTGGGTACAATGGCTGGATGAGTCCGGTATAAATGTCTATTCTGCACAAGGTACAGACAAGTCTGGTGGGAACCATGCCTGGTTCATTGTAATAAACGTGAGCTTGTGGACAGGCGGCTGCGCTTGTCTGTGATAACCTCGTGCCGATTGCACGTCCCCGTGACGGTGACAACACATTCACATGTCTGACCTATCAACTTTCGATGCTATTTTCCGCGCCTACCATGGTGACCACGGGTAACTAGGAATCAGGGTTCGATTTCAGAGAGGGAGCCTGAGAAACAGCTATCACATGCAAGAAAGGCAGCAGGCGCGCAAATTACCCACTCCCGACGAGGGGAGGTAGTGACGACAAATAACAATACACTACTCTTTCGAGAACCTGTAATTGTAATGAGTCCACTTTAAATCCTTTAACTTGGATCAATTGGAGGGCACGTCTGCTGCAGAGCGACTGACCCATGAGTGCTGCAGCTGAAACTTCACTATCGCCTGCTGCTGCTCGCTGAAGCTGCATCAGGGTCCTGGTATGTGGCCGCACAAATGCTGGTGCTCAACACCAGGGGGCGTGCAGTTACCCTGCACCAGACCCTGCTAATCCATTCCACACTGTGACTCCTAACTTCAACATCAGGCATACTGGGTCCCGGTCATCCAACCGCCACCCAGACAGTGTCTGGGTCCCAGTCACCAGACTGCCCCCCGACTGTGAAACTGCGAATGGCTCGTTAAATCTGTTATGGTTCCTTTTATTGCTCTATCTGTTACTTGAATAACTGTGGGAATTCTTAAGATAATACATGCCGACGAGCGCTAGGGGACGGCCGCTCCGCTTTTGCACCCTGCTCCCTCTTATGCTGTGCTGGTGTCTCTGTGCGACCAGCGCCTCTTCCTCCAAACTGCACACATCACTCACATGACCTTCATTCCACGTTGTTTTGGTGTTTGGTATTTAACTTTGTAGCTGTATCTTTACACAATATAGAAATGTATATTAATGCTTCTATATATGAAGCGATCACAATTACACTTATTTTTCACTTTTTTAAAAAGTCTTTAGACTTTCCTGAGAAGTGGTAACTAGCCAGTGTTGCACACATACACCAGATATGAAGTGCACACCCCAAATGTACTATTTAGCAGCCAAAAATGTGAATTTTTAAAACTGCCCTGTAAGCACAGTATTTGATGGTTCTATTTGACTCTCAGAAATGAAGTGCAGGCCCCAAATGTACAATTTAGCACCTAAAGAATTTGAATGTTTAAAAAAACGCTGTAACCACAGTATTTGACGGCTCTATTTGACTCTCAGGTATGAAGTGCACCACAGGCCGCAAATATACTATTTAGCAGCCAAAAAATTTGAATTTTTAAAACTACGCTGTAAGCACAGTATTTGATAGTTCTATTTGACTCTCAGAAATGAAGTGCAGGCCCCAAATGTACAATTTAGCACCTAAAGAATTTGAATGTTTAAAAATGCGCTGTAACCAAAGTATTTGATGGCTCTATTTGACTCTCAGATATGAAGTGCAAGCCCCAAATTGACTTTCTATTTGACTCTCAGAAATGAAGTGCAGGCCCCAAATGTACAATTTAGCACCTAAAGAATTTGAATGTTTAAAAATGCGCTGTAACCAAAGTATTTGATGGCTCTATTTGACTCTCAGATATGAAGTGCAAGCCCCAAATTGACTTTTTAGCACCTAAAGAATTTGAATGTTTAAAACTGCAATGTAAGCACAGTATTTGACGGTTCTATTTGACTCTTAGATATGAAGTGTAGGCACCAAATTGACTTTTTATCACCTAAAGAATTTGAATGTTTAAAACTGCAATGTAAGCACAGTATTTGACGGTTCTATTTGACTCTCAGATATGAAGTGCAGGCACCAAATTGACTTTTTAGCACCTAAAGAATTTGAATGTTTAAAACTGCAATGTAAGCACAGTATTTGACGGTTCTATTTGACTCTCAGATATGAACTGCAGGCACCAAATTGACTTTTTAGCACCTAAAGAATTCGAAAGTTTAAAACTGCAATGTAAGCACAGTATTTGACGGTTCTATTTGACTCTCAGATATGAAGTGCAGGCACCAAATTGACTTTTTAGCACCTAAAGAATTTGAATGTTTAAAAATGCGCTGTAACCAGAGTATTTGACAGTTCTATTTGACTCTCAGATATGAAGTGCACCGCAGGCTGCAAATGTACTATTTAGCAGCAAAAAAAAAATTAATGTTTAAAACTGCAATGTAAGCACAGTATTTGACGGTTCTATTTGACTCTCAGATATGAAGTGTAGGCACCAAATTTACTTTTTAGCACCTAAAGAATTTGAATGTTTAAAACTGCAATATAAGAACAGTATTTGACGGTTTTATTTGACTCTCAGATATGAAGTGCAGGCACCAAATTTACTTTTTAGCACCTAAAGAATTTGAATGTTTAAAACTGCAATGTAAGCACAGTATTTGAAGGTTCTATTTGACTCTGAGATATGAAGCGCAGGCACCAAATTTACTAGTGCGTGTGGCGCTACGCAACTCCAGCTGGGTCACATGCTGTACTGGCCAATCACAGCCATGCCATTAGTAGGCATGGCTGTGATGGCTTCTAAGGGCACACGAGTCAAACGCTTGTTGATTGGCTGCCATGCAGGCTTTCAAAAGGCGCCATTAAATTGCTGAACACCGAACTCCAACCCGAACATACACTGATATGTCCGTGTTCGGGTCCGGGGTCCAAAAAACGTAATGTTCGGTACGAACCCGAACTTTACAACTTGGGAATTGTTATAGACAACAAACTATGCAACAATGTGCAATGTCAATCAGCAGTGGCTAAGGCCAGTAAGGTCATGCATGAAAAAGGGCATTCAGTCTCGGGATGAGAATATCATTTTGTCTCTTTATAAATCACTGGTAAGACCACATATTGAATATGCTGTGCAATTTTGGGCAACTTTTTTAAAGAAGGATATTATGGCACTAGAAAAAGTGCAGAGTTGGGCTACAAAATTAATAAAGGGAATGGAACATATCAGCTATGAAGAAAGGTTAACAAATTTAAACCTTTTTAGTTTAGAAAAACATCGCCTGAGAGGGGATATAATAACATTATACAAATATATTCGGGGCCAATACAAACCATCGTGTGGAAATCTATTCACAAACCGGACTTTACATAGGACATGAGGTCATGCATTTAGACTGGAAGAAAGAAGATTTCGTCTAAGGCAAAGGAAAGGTTTTTTTACTGGAAGAACCATAAGGATGTGGAATTCTCTGCCTGAAGAAGTGGTTTTATCAGAGTCCATACAGATGTTCAAACAGCTACTAGATGCAAACCTGCAAAAACAGAATATTCAAGGATATAATCTTTCAATGTAGAGTAATAACTGCTTGATCCAAGGATAAATCTGACTGCCATTCTGGGGTCAAGAAATAATTTTTTTCCTAGCTTATTGCAAAATTGGAAGTGCTTCAAACTGTTTTTTTTTTGTTTTTTTGCCTTCTTTTGTATCAACAGCAAAAAACAAATGTGAGGAAGGCTGAACTTGATTGATGCAAGTCTCTTTTCAGGTATGTAACTATGTAACCTTTCATGGCAGTGGTGGAATGGTCCCTTTCGCTGGAGCCAGAGTGAAACACAGTGCTATGAACTGCTGAAGTGGACAACCCAAGGACCTGTTGAAAGCACAAGGAAGTCCAGCCAGCAATAACTCAAATGTGGTCCTGATAGCTTAACTGATGGAGCTAGATCGTTCCAGTTCTGCATCCTCCACATCTATGGAGGAAAGTGAATACCTACGGAACATCAAAACCTGGCTATCCCTACTCGGCCCTAATCCTTCCCAGGAGGATGTATTACAGGAGTGAATGCTATTGCTCAGGCCAAGTGGAACCATGAGCTGAAGATGGAGATCCAGCGACAACGGCCCATTGGTGGAGTCAAAACCACCAGGCGGATAAGAGGACACGACATCGCATATGCTACGATTACGGTGCAAGGACCCTCAAGCTTTGGGTTGAGTAAAAGGTTCTTAAAATCCATCCAGCAAAGTCGGGCCTGGACACCGGCGGGAGAAGTCGCATGTAAACGCAGCTCCGCGTCCCACAGCCTAACCTGAGCAATTGCCACACAATACTACGGCACAATATACCTAAAAACTCCAATGTCTCACCCAAAAACGAAGTGGCAAACGGAAAAGGCGGACAAGACACAGTTCTTTGCCCCAAAGCAGAGCGCACAACGGGACTCACTGCAGACGGCGGGAATCCAAGATGGCGCCGGCGCCGAAGACAGCAACGAGGCAGCTCACTGTGCGCCTAATGTTCAGGGGCTCCTAACCCAGCACATAATGCATAACATGTTGGACGAAATGTCCGCAAAAATAATGAAGAGTGTGCAGGCATCCATAGGAGAGCTGCGCAAAGACCTGGGAGATCTTGGTTCCAGAACCTCAAAACTGGAAGAAAAGATGGCGGACGCTGAGGAAGCGCATAACGACCTTGCAGACAGGCTGTTGCAGATGTCAGAGCGCTTGGCGGCGCAGGAGGTAAAAATAGCCGACATGGAAGACCGGAGCCGGCGAAACAATTTACGGCTGAGGGGGGTGGCAGAAACTGTGGGCATAAATGACCTGACAGCACATGTCACGGCCTACCTAAAGTCACTAGTGCCAGATATCCCACAAAACATGCTCCTCTTTGACCGCATCCACAGGACGGCGAGACCCAAGTTCCTGCCCCAAGATGCCCCCAGAGACATTCTGGTGCGTATGCACTACCATCACATTAAAGACGCCATTCTAAAAAACAGTAGAAAAAAAAAGGGGGGGGGGAACAGCGCTACAGTACTGATCACAAAGGGGGATAGAGCTGCACACCTGAAAGGAAGGGTAACCCTCAAACCCTTCAAAAATTGAGAGAACAACAGACGACAGATACAGGGTGCGCTAAATAAAATGAAAGAGTCTCTATAGGTATAATGTAGATCTTGGGTGACTGTTCTTCTATTCTTGCTTTGGAATCTCCGTAGTCAGATATGGAATACAAAAGCAGAAAGGGGGGGACCGAATAGTGCAAAACCGCAATGCTGGGAGGATCACGAACAACACAGACGTGGAGAAATGCCAACTTACAATTTTTAGAGCTACGTCCAGCTCTAGGTAAAACAGCATACAGTGGTATTTAATACTCCCCACATGTAGGATATTACTGGGCAAATTGGAAGTGACTCCACACGATTCTTTACACCTTCTCAGACAAACGTCAGCATATAAAATATATAAAAGAAGGAAAATCCAATGGTGCAATAACAAAGGTAATATTGCAACGACAGACAACACTGAGGTCCTAAGAGTGCCAACTTACAATTTTTAGAGCTATGACCAGCTCTGGGTAAAACAGCATACAGTGGTATTTAAACTCCCCACGTGTAGGATATTCCTCTAATGATGCTTGCAGTGCCGGAC